CGTGCCCTTAATGAAATTATAGAAAAAGTCGATTCATCTTTATATAATATAGCTATTTGTTCTCCACAGGCTCGAGAAGATGTGCCTCTTTATGATGGAGAGTTAATAACTCCACGATCACCATAACTAATGCAGGCATTAGAACAAGCTTATTTATTATCGGGGATGATACTAAAATCGGATGATGCTGAAATTTTAACTTATATTTATAAGAAATTTTAAAGTTTTTTAGGGGTGTTTTTTTAGCTTTTTTTATGGTTAGGTTAGGTTAGTGTTTATAATAAAAGAGTATATAGGTGGGTTTTAGTCAGATTTATATTTTTAAATTGAGACCCCAAATTCAGCATTATCCGATTTTAGCATTATCCCGACATTTATTATCCTATAGGTAAGTATAAAAAAAATATTTATTTTATAGATATATCTACTTTATATCAATAAAGCTGGCCCTGGTGGCTCAATTTCACATAAATAATTAGTTTACTTTGTGTGTATATTTCGTGAATTTATTTATTGTATTGATACCGATGTAAAGCTCGTAAACGATCGAGAATTTTTTTTGGTAAAGTGATAGAGCGTGAAATCTTTTACCCAGACATTAGTCCGCAGACAATAGCATAGACGTCATGTATCATGAGCTAGGTCCCGAACATTTGTATTAATTTTTCGCATGTATTAATAAAAATTTTTCTTGGCAAAAAAAACCCGTTAACAAGTTAACAGGTTTCGGCATAACTTACATATTTTTACCGATTTTGAATATTAATATATCAAGTATAAACAACAACATTATAATATTATACAGGCATGCAGTCCGAAATAGATTCATTGAGACAGCGCATTACCGAGCTTGAGGTTGAGAAAGCTGAACTTGAGGCCAAGAATTCTGAAATTCCCGAACTTAGAAAGAAGCTTGCTGAATTTGAAGTCAGGGTTGTCGAGATTCACGAACTTAGGAAGAAGGTTGCCGATGTCGAGGCTAGAAATGCAGAACTTATAAAGCAGATTATGGAAGAGAATAACAGACGTGACGCCAGGATTGAGGTTCTAGAAAAAAATAAGACAGATACTACTGATAGAATCCCTACATTGGAACATAAGCATTCGCAAAATGATATTACTAATAACAACCCTTCTAATTTAAATTCCGGTGCAGACCATCATGAAAAACCATCACAGGAGAAAGAGATGGATGAGATGCATAAGAAAAGCGTTTGTGATGAAATAAGGCGACGCAATAAGGAGAAGAAAATTCAGCGTGAGACAGATACACAAGATGTCGCATCTGACCCCGCATGTACAGCAGATACATTTGCCATTGTTAACAACTTGGTTGAGTCGGAAAGTCAAAACATTGATAAAATTAATAGTTGCACCTCCTCAGAGTCATCTCGCGAAATAAAGGTCGTTGCAAATACTTCACAAGACTATGCTCAGAAATGTATTGCGAATTCCGTTGTAGATTCGAAAGTACCACATGATATAAAAACCGTTAACGATCAAGATAAATCAGCGGTAGAACCGAATATAGTAACCGAATTCGTACAAGGTTTGTTGGAAGAGTTACTCTCATCTGACAGTCGACTTCTGGAATCTATTAAGTTTTCTCCCCCCAGAACCCTAATTCCCGGATCATTAAGTATTAAGAAACTTGCTAATTTATTCTGCCAATCGATTGTTACAAGAAAAAAATCGATTATAGCAAAGCGAGAAGAGATTTCATCTTGGGGTTGCTTCTCCGAAAGGTTTGAAGATAAGGTTGTGGAGCTTAGATCTGGAGATAAGAAACTTACGGATCAGACTGCAAGAAAACGGATCTATGATGAAATGGTGCCATACCTCACAGATGTTACAGATGGATATTTACGTGTAATGACCTGTAAAGCAAGAAAAATCAATAAGTTATTTGGGTATGAATATGATCCTGTAACTCTGAAAAAAAATAAAGGTATAGGATGGAATATGGTTCAGCGGGTCACTTGTAGTGCTGACAGAATTTCAAGACTAACTAATCCTCAAATCGAATACATCATAAAGCAGGTCAAATCGAAGACAATCACTAGTCATGTGAACAAAATCTTTGAAACCGTGGTAAAGTCATCAAATGTAGTAACTCCAGCTAAGGCAAATGACCACAATGATGACGACTCCGATTCAGGTAATGTTGACTCCGGCTCTAACTCAGATTCCGATGAATCAATAGACTCGAACCACCCCCATGACATTCTCTTGCGTGAAGAAATTGCTCGATTAGAGCGAATCTCTAATTATCCAGGTAATTCAGCACCCACGCCTCAAATGACCCCAGTTAAGGTAGATAACTACAATGATGTATACTTTGAAGAAGAGGATTTAAAGGAGGAAGAAGTAGAATCGAACGAAGTTAAGTCGGATGATGAAAATAATTCTGAAGAAGAGATAGATGAATCGGATAACGATGGATATAGTGGATGCGGTGGATATAATGAATATGGTGAATCTGATAGAGGTTATTATTATGATTTAAGTAGCGGGAAAAAAACTTATAAAAA